CCTGCTTCCACTGGCTCCTACAGCCCATGGTCCCCAGGCAGCCAGGACTTTAACATAACAAATCGGATCATATGACTTCTTTTTTTTTTTTTTTTTGAGACGGAGTCTCGATCTGTTGCCCAGGCTGGGGTGCAGTGGCCGAATTTCAGCTCACTGCAAGCTCCGCCTCCCGGGTTTACGCCATTCTCCTGCCTCAGCCTCCCGAGTAGCTGGGACTACAGGCGCCCGCCACCTCGCCCGGCTAGTTTTTTTTGTATTTTTTTAGTAGAGACGGAGTTTCACCGTGTTAGCCAGGATGGTCTCAATCTTCTGACCTCGTGATCCGCCCGTCTCAGCCTCCCAAAGTGCTGGGATTACAGGCTTGAGTCACCGCGCCCGGCCGGATCATATGACTTCTCTGCTGTTGACCCCTTAGTTGCTCCCCGTAGTCCTCACTGTGAAGTCGCTGCTCCTCCCTGCACCCTGGGTGCCCTGGCCCAGCTGCCCCCCTCCCAGCATGCCCCTTGCACTGCTCGTGTTCTAGCCACAAGCTGCTCAGGGCCAACAGCTCTTGCCAGACCTTGAGGACCCACCTCATCATCTCCATCCTGTCTCTTCCTACCCTGCTGTGCCAGGTCTCTTGCCAGGCCCTGGGTAGAGATGATGTATAGCAGGGGTTATATCTTGTTCCACTGGATGCCCAGTGCCTAGCACAGTGTCTGGCACACAGTAGGTGCTCACTCAACACATGTTTGTTAAATGAAGGAAGACTTTGTCTTCTTCCAAATCTCATCTGTTCGAGAGTTGTTATGGACTGGGCACATAATTGCAGCACTTGGGGAGGCTAAGATAGGAGGATCATTTGAGCTCATGAGTTCAAGACCAGCCTGGGCAACATGGAAAAACCCCATCTCTACAAAAAATACAAAAATTAGCCCAGCAGGGTGGCTTGCACCTGTAGTCCCAGCTACTCGCTTGGGAGGCTGAAAGTGAGAGGATCACTTGAACCCAGGATATTGAGGCAGCAGTAAGCCAAGCTGTGATTGTACCACTGCCCTTCAACCTGGGTGACAGAGTGACACCCAGTCTCAAAAAGAAAAAAAAGTTATTATGTCATTGGGGCTGCTGGTCTGATGGTCCTTCCTGAATGTGCCTATCCTAGGCCCTAGCCCCTGCTGCCACCTCCCTCCAGTCAATGACAGGAGAATGCATCAAGACTCTGCCTGCCCTCTCCATCTGTTCCTATCAGAGACACTATCACCCCGTAGTGTATTGGAGCCAGCCACCCATTTGCCCTTCCTGCTCAGCCAATCAGAACAATAATAATCAGCACATCTGTTGAATGCTTACAAAAATGCCAGTGATCTACATCACTTATTTGGAATCCTTATACTTCCACAAAGGAACTATGTTATTACTCCTACAGATAAGAAAAATGAGACTCAAAGAGGGTTCAATTACTTGCCCAAGGTCATACAGTAAAGATGTGATGGATGGATGGATGGATGGATGAATGAATGAATAAATGGATTAACAACAGCTTTACTGACTCTGATGCTTTGCTATTTTTCTCTCTTTCCAATATAAACATTGGGGGTGGCTCCATGGAACTAAAGGGGCCAAGTGGCTTTGGGGATTCCTGAGCCAAGAGAGCAGGAGGTTGGGAGGAGTTGACCCTGGTAGAAATCAGCTCTGAGCAACCCCAAGTTACTCAGTAACCTCAAATACTTGGTCCCCAGGGACAAACTGGCCAATCTGGGCCAGGGCAGGCAGCAGACACCGGTTCCCCTTGGCCACCCTTCTGGCACTCAGCTTGTCACAGCTGGAATCTGGAGATGGAAGGTCAAAGATGGGACAGACTTCAGGCCAGGCAAATGACAGCTGATGGTGGAGTCAGGGGCTTCTCAGAGGAGGCCTGGAGTGGAAGGAGGAGTGAGAGATGAAGCCCTCACCATTCCATCAGAACCACCAGGGCCAGAGAAGGCAGGGGGAGGACCAACGGCTTGACATCACTTCACAATCCAAAAGGAAACCATAAACTAAGCCTCTCCATAGTGTTTGGTAGGTGGTGGGCCAGGGGGTCCTCTAAGATCCTCTAAGGTGGCAGCCTGGCAGGGAAGTCCTCAGACAGGTGGGGGAGCCAGGAAGGGGACCCTCCCAAGGGGAGGGCTGTCAGGGTCTTGCTGTCTTCTGGACCAGGGCTGATACCAGCTAAGCTGGTGCTCACTAGCTGTTGAAATATCAAGATTATCTCATTCAAGTTGGCAAGTAGCTGTTGCCCAAAGGTCTCTAAGTGTACCCTCCAGAGATTGGCTCAGCTCTCCTGGGTCAGCAGGGGGGAGTTCCTTTACATCTCCCCATAATCCAGCAACGAAGAGGTTAACACCTGCCAGACAGAGGGCCCCAGGACCGAGCCCTGTTTTATACCTTGACTAGAACATGAGGTTGTAGCCCCAGACCTGGCCCAGGGTTGGTGCTAAATGAGTATTTGTTGAGTGAATGAATGAGCAACAGAGGAGAGAGAATCAGAGACCTAGAGGAATGAAAAGAGACTAAGGTGACAAAGAGATGGAAGAGGCTGGAATCAGGGAGGCACTTCCCAGAAGATGCTGGGAAGGCCCAGCCTACTCCTCCTTGTTTTCCCTGGTTTGCAGCTTTTGAAGGCTCTTCCCATCCCAGGGCCTGTCCAGTCCCTGCTTGGACAGCCCTGAGCAACCCCCCACTCCCAGACAGGACTCAGGCAGTGTCTTGGGGCAGAAGGCTGGACCTGGGTGGAGCCTCCAGATGCGGAATCATTATACAAAGGATGCTGACCTGATATATCCCTTGCCCCAGGAAGGGCTAGAAAATAAGCTTCCTGCTGAGCAAGTAGGGACAGAGAGTCTCTCTGGGACAGAGGCCACTGAGGGCCAGAAAGCCCTCTACCAGAAAGCGGTGCTACCAGAGTCTGCCACCCAGAGTCTGACCCCTGGCTGGCACCTGAGTTAGGGAAACTGGATACCTAGAATCCAACTGTCCTCCAGAGTCCACTCTGTGCCAGAGGCTGGAGCCCCTAAGGGGAGGTAGAGAGAAGTGAGCTGGGGAAGGGACAGCAGGAAAGAAAAGGAAGAGGTTAGGGACTCTACTGTTGACCCCATCCCTGCCCATTCCTGAGAAGGAGCCCTACCCTGCATCTGTTCTGGGGGGAGGCTGGCCCCTAGGGACGTAGGCCATATTCATGGGAGTGGCAGCTTTCCCTTGGGACTGGGGTTTGGGACACCATTACAGACACCCACGGGCTCCTTCCATACAATGGCTCCCTCAGACAGGCTGGCCTGGGATGGGCGGCAGCGTAGAGAGAGAGCCTCCCCTCCCACCAGCCCCGTGGAACACTTGCCTTCACCCTGTGGAGGTGTCATGTGTCAGAACCAATAATGCCAGGGTTCCACACCTATTTAGAGCCCTTCAGTGGCCCAGAACCCACTGAGTAGAGGCTCTGTGCCTTAGCAGGGCCTTCAGGGCCTTCCCAGCACTGCCCCCAGCCTCTCCCAGCCTCAGTTCCTGAACACATTGGATGCTTACACTGCCAGGCTCGGTCTATGTTGGTCCCACTTCTTGTAATATCTCCTCTTCCTTCTTCACTTGTCCAATTCATAGGTTGTCCTTCCAGATCACCTTCATATATTCACTACCTTCTCAGGAAGCTATTCTCTGTCTCAGTCCCCTCCTTTACCCCATCCCTGGGGCCTCTGCAGCCTCTCCTCTTGGGCCCCTGCAATCTCTGTTCTTCTCTGGGTTGGTCGCTTATCCCACTGGTAATCAAATTTCCTCCTAAGTGTCTGTCTCCACACCAGACAGTGGCTCCTGGAGGGAGGGGCTATCTGGTTCATCTCCAAAGCCTGCCTCACAGTAAGTGTTCAATAAATGTCTGTCTCCTCCATGTCTGTCTACCGGGCCCCCAGTGGATGCCAATCTTGCTTGGGTAATGAGGAACTCTGGACTTGGAATTGAGAAGCCCTCGTTGCATTCAGCCTCCCTCCACTGCAGCTGCAGAGGCAGCCCAGGCTCTCTCACATCCACAGTGGGCACGCAGGGAACCCGGGTGTCAGTGTGGCCCCTGCCCGGCCTGCTTCCCTGTGGTGTGGTACAGATTGGGGGTAGGAAAGGGAAGAGTCCCTTACCTTATACCACTTAGAGCAGTGTAAGGGACTCCACTGCAGAGGCCCAGACTCCCCAGCCTGATTAATCATGAGTGCCTGAAGAGCATTGTTTATCTCTGTTCTCCACCTCTGCTTTTTCAGTAGGGAAAAGATTTGAGTAACCCCTAAACTCTCTCTTGTATTAACCCTAGAGGGGCCAGACCAAGGTTTTTTTTTTTTTTTTTTTTTTTTGACAGAGTCTTGCTCTGTTGCCCACTCTGGAGTGCAGTAGCAAGATCTCGTCTCACTGCAACCTCCACCTTCTGGGTTCAAGAGATCCTCCTGCCTCAGCCTCCTGAGTAGCTGGGACTACAGGAGCACTGCCACCATGCCGAACTAATTTTATCTTATTTTATTTTATTTATTTATTTTATTTTTAGTAGAGACAGGGTTTCCCTATGTTGGCCTAGCTGGTCTCCAGTTCCTGACCTCAAGTGATCCACCCAACCCGGCCTCCTAAAGTGCTGGGATTACAGGCCTAAGCCACCGCGCCCGGCCCAGACCAGGATTTTTAAGGGCCACTTATTCCTTGGGAGACACTCTAAAGTAACATCATGTATGAGGGTGCGGGTTCTCCCACCCCCAGGTCCCACAGCTGTGCCTATCAGGGCAGAACACATGGTGCCTTTCCAGGGTCACGTCCAAGGACCTGGCACCGTAACAGTGCTAGGGTCAGCGCCAGGACTGTGCGACTCCCTTCCCCAAGTCTTGGCCCCACCTCGGGCCGAGGGTCCAGGACCCCCCGACGCCCTGCTCCTGGTCCCCGGGGCCCTGGGCCTGCGGCAGGTGAGGGCGGGGCCTCCGTGGGCAGGGCCTCTGTGGGCGGAGCTCCGCGAAACCTGCCCTGCCGCCGGGGATTGTCTGCCAGAGCCTGCGAGCGCCAGCCTAGATCGCAGCCCAGACCTATGGCCGGGTCTCCCAGCCGCGCCGCGGGCCGGCGACTGCAGCTTCCCCTGCTGTGCCTCTTCCTCCAGGGCGCCACTGCCGTTCTCTTTGCTGTCTTTGTCCGCTACAACCACAAAACCGACGCTGCCCTCTGGCACCGGGGCAACCACAGTAACGCGGACAATGAATTTTACTTTCGCTACCCAAGTGAGTGCGGGGTGAGGGCGCGCGGGAAGCAAAGAACTCAAGCTTTGCAAAGACCCTCCGGCGTTTTGGGAGGGAGCATTTGGGTGCCCCCATTTAGCTGGGCAGCCATCTCGCTCTGAGGTGGAGAGGCTCTGGGTTTAAAATCTCACCCTTTCACTAGTGCCTGCTATGATCCAGGGTACCGTGCTGGTACATATACATTATCTCACTTAGTCTATGAGATAGACAAAGGTGGGGAAACTGAGGCTTGGTTAAGTGGCTGATTCAGGGTCACATAGTCACAAGTGGGGGAGTTGGGATTGGAAGCCAGATCTAGAGCCCCAGCTTTAACCATCCCCTTGTCCCACTCTCAATTGGCCTAGTTGGGCTTTGCTGGGCTGTTGGAGACTGCCTTTCCTAGGGGCTCCACCCTGAGCATGGGAAAGAGAATCCTGCTGGGCAAGGAAGGTAAGAGTGGGGTTGCGAGAGGTCATAATGGCAGGTGTTAGGTATGAATCGCCCACACATGTAGGCAGCCAAGACCAGTTGGGATCAGGCATTTCTTCCCCAGTCCCTCAAAGCTGGTCCTTTCAGAGACAAAGAGAAAATGAGGCAACTGGCCAGTCGTGGTGGCTCACACCTGTAATCCCAGCATTTTGGGAGGCTGAGGCAGGTAGATCATCTGAGGTCAGGAGTTTAAGGCCAGTCTGGCCAACATGGTGAAATCCCCATCTCTACTAAAAACACAAAAATTTAGCCGGGTGTGGTGGTGGGCACCTGTAGTCCCAGCTACTTGGGAGGCTGAGGCAGGAGAATCTCTTGAATTCGGGAGATGGAGGTTGCAGTGAGTCAGGATCATGCCACTGCACTTCAGCATGGGTGACAGAGCCAGACTCCATCTCGAAAACAAAACAAAACAAACAAAAAATTAGCCGGGCGTGGTGGTGGGCGCCTGCAATCGTGGCTACTTGGAAGGCTGAGGCAGGAGAATCACTTGAACCAGGGAAGTGCAGGTTGCGAGGTTGCAGTGAGCCGAGATTGCACCACTGCACTCCAGCCTGGGCGACAACAGAATGAAACTCTGTCTCAAAAAAAAAAGAAAGAAAGAAAGAAAGAAAGACAAAAAGAAAGAAAATGAGGCACCCTCTACCTGCTAATCACAGAGCAGCAGCCCCCAGACTTGGCAGGAAGCATGGTAGGGTCATTAGCCCATTTCACAGAGGGGGAAGCTGAGTCTCAGAGGGGTTGTGAGTTGTTCACTATCACCCATCAGGTGAGTGGCAGAGCTGGAACTAGAACTCAGGCATCCTAAGCTTTTTGCCCAAGTCACCTGCCTGCTGACAAGTTTCGATAGAGAGAGAGTTAACCTCCCACCCCCACCCTTGGCCCCATGGGAATAGAGCCTCTCCTTCGAAGGTTGGGGACCCTGTCTTGCAATTTAGACCCTAGGCAGCTGGGACCAAGAGCACCAGATCTCCCAGAATTTATCACAAGTGCTTGGGCAGGTCATCTCCAAGCCTCAGTTTTTCCCATCTGAGCAAGGGGAAAAAGGATGCCTCAGTTTAAAGGAGATACATTCAAACAAGGCCTAGAGCGTGAGAATCTCCTATTAAAAATTTCCAGCTGTCATTACCCTACTTCCTTTTTCTCTCCTTTTTTTTTTTTTTTTTTTGAGACAGAGTCTTACTCTGTTGCCCAGGCTGGAGTGCAATGGCACGATCCCGGTTCACTGCAACCTTCACCTCCCAGATTCAAGCAAATCACCCTCCTCAGCCTCCTGAGAAGCTGGGATTACAGGTGCCCATCAAAACGCCTAGCTAAGTTTTGTATTTTTAGTAGAGACAAGGTTTTGCCATGTTGGCCAGGCTGGTCTTGAACTCCTGACCTCAGGTGATCCACCCGCCTTGGCCTCCCAAGTGCTGGGATTACAGGCATGAGCCACCGCACCTGGCCCTATTACCCTACTTTCTGTATGCAGAGCTGATGGCAGGCTATCCCCACCTCACCCTGGTCTAGACCCAACAAAATGAAGCTCAAAACACTGCGGATATAGAGGGTGAGGTGGAAACTTGGACTTGGGCATGAAACACCAGACCCCCCATCCACCCTAGGCAGAAGGGGCTACAGCTCCTCCCTCCCCATATTTCATCCACAGTCCTGGCTAGAAAAGAAGGATAAAGAGTTGGGAGGGAGCAGTCCAGAGTCTGACAGAAGTAAGCTGTTGTGTAAGGGTCTGACCTGGCTGCTTGCCGTGAACCCCTGACTTGCTTCTCCTCGAAGCCCTCCTTATTACAAAGCCTTCCCTGGAGTCCAGCCTCTTGCCCCTGTGCTGCAATGGTAGGCTCTCCTCAGACATACAGTATTTCATCTCTGAATTGCAATAAGGGAGATATAACAGGTGGGATTCCTACTTCTTTTTTTGCCCTAGGTTTCCATTCCTGTGGACTTGGATACTGTTGTGGGGGAAGGTTCGAAAGGAGGGAGGTGCAAGGTCCCTAGAGCCTGGGGCTTTGATGAGCCGGGTCCTCATCTGTCCCTGTGCCCAGGGGAAGGGGTCAGGGCCAGAGGGAGGTGTAGCCACTGCCCTTTGATTCGGGAGATGAAAGGGAGTTGTGCGGCTGTTGCTGAGCTCCAGGACCGGCCAATGCCAAGACATGGCTAGTCTGAGGGTCCGTCTGTTTTCTCTGCTGGAAGGACCCTGAGAGCCCATCTGGTTCACCCACTCAGATGTTGAGAGTGAGCCAGAGAGGTCATGTGACCTGGCCAAGTCACACAGCAAGTTACAGAAGAGCCAGGCTAGAACTAGGTCTCTTGATTCCCCATCTGTGTCCTTCCCCCTACACTACAAGCCTCTTCTTCCTGAAAGCAAGTGGTGGAAAAATAACAAAGAAGGGGAAAGAGCCAGGGCTAAAGGGCCACAGAAGCAAACATGAGAAAGCGTTCTGAAAAAACATGGACAGGTTCTTATTTTTATACGTCTCACAGACCTTACTTGCAGAGAGAGGGATTTAGGATAGATGGAATCAGGATCTTCCTGGAAGAGATGGGGGATGAAGGATGTGACCAGGACCAGAATGGCTTTTGATCTCTTCTAGGAGAGAGAACACAGCCCTACTGTCCCCTAGAGGCAGGTGGGATGAATGGTGGGGAAGTTGGGGTAGATGGCCCCCTCAGCTCCCCCTGCTTCTTCTTGCTTATCATATTTAATATCCATACTTTACAGATGAGAAAACAGGCTCAGAGGCTTGCCCAAGGTCATAGGATCAGAAGGAGGCAGGGAGTCCTGGAATTAACTGATTGATTGAAACAGGGTCTCACTCTGTCACCCAGGCTGGAGTGCAGTGGCACGATCACGGTTCACTGTAGCTTCCACCTCCCAGGCTCAAGCAATGCTCCTGCCTCAGCCTCCTAAAGTGCTTGGATTACAGGCATGAGACACCAGGCCTGGCCAGACCTAGAATTTAAATCAAGCTCTGCTAGATGCCAAAGCCCCAGCTTTAACAGCTTTCTTCTCCCATAATCTTGTCTGGTCCAGGATTTATCTAGCTGGATTGCAGAGAGGCAGTAAGAGAAGGAGGGAGAGTAATAGGTGGCTTTGGAGAGCTTTATCTTCTCTCCAGTCAAAGATGCTTGGGGCTGGGCACTGTGGTTCATGCTGTTATCCCAACACTTTGGGAAGCCGAGGTGAGAGGACTGCTTGAAGCCAGGAATTTGAGACCAGCCTGGGCAACAAACAAAGTGAGACCTCTTCTCCATGAAAAATAAAATTAGCCCAATGTGGTAATAAGCACCTGTAGTCCTAGCTACTCTGGAGGCTGAGGAGGGAAAAATGCTTGAGCCCAGGAGGTTGAGGCTGCAGTGAGTTGTAATGGCACCACCGCACTCAAGCCTGGACAACAGAGCAAGATTCTGTCTCAAAAAAATTAAAAAGTGCATGGGTTTGGTGGAGGTGGGGTGGGGTGGGCATCAGACTCCGTCCCACCCGCACAGGCATCCTCTAAAGGGGATGTTGAGAGGTTGCCTTATCTTTTTCCTCCACCTCCAACTGGAACAGCCCCTCACCTCTCAGAGCCCAAAAAGAATTTCTCATTGTGGAATGTTCCCAGAGAAGGAGATTTCTTGATGTTTAGACTCCAGTTGAAAGGTCAGAGCCTTGAGTTTTGATTCTCAACAAACCTGGGGTGGGAGATGTAAACACTTACACCACAGAAGTTCTGGACTGGTTTTGGCATGTAATGGTCAGGAGCCCTTCGACCTAGCACCCTTCCTTATCTTGCTGTCCTTGAGCACTAGAATAGACATGGATTCTCTTTACTTTTTGCACAAGGAGAAAAGCAGCCAGCGGTGAGGCTAAAAGAACTTAGGGTGCGGGCTGAGTTTTAAGTGATGCTTTCCCTCCCTTTTTTTCCCCATCATCTCAAATGTTTATCATTTATTTGCGTTGGGAACATTCAGTACCCTCCTCCTGTTTGAAATGATAGAATATATTATTGTTAACTGTAGTCACTCTACAGTGCTATAAGGTCCTCAACTCCTAGGCTGGTTAGGACCGGGGTTGCACAGCAGGAGGCGAGTGAATATCACTGCCTGAGCTCTGTCTCCCGTTAGATCATGGTGGCATTAGATTCTTATAGGAGTGCAAACCCTATTGCGAACTGTGCATGTGAGGGATCTCGGTTGTGCACTCCTTATGAGAATCTAATGCCTGATGATCTGAGATGGAACAGTATCAATCCGAAACCATCTCCCACCCCCCAACCATTTGCGGAAAAATTACCTTCCAGGAAACTGGTCCTGGATTCCAAAAAGGTTGGGGATCACTGGGTATAGATCACTAGATCTATACCTTATTCCTTCTATCTTAGATATAATTGGCTGTAATTTTGTATCCTTTAACAATCTCTCCCTATTCCCCCTTCCCCCTACTCTTCTGTCTTTATTATCCTTTGTTCTACTTTTTACTTCTAAGAGAGCAACTTTTTTTTAACTTCCACATATGAGTGAGAACATGCAGTGTTTAGCTTTCCATTCCTGACTTATTTCACTTATAAAGTCCTCCAGTTCCATTCGTGTTGCCAGGAATGACAGGATTCCATTTTTTTTTTTTGAGATGGAGTACGCTCTTGTTGCCCAGGCTGGAGTGCAATGGCACGATCTCGGCTCACTGCAATCTCTGCCTCCCAGGTTCAAGTGATTCTTCTGCCTCAGCCTCCTGAGTAACTGGGATTACAGGTGCCCGCCACTACACCTGGCTAATTTTGTATTTTTAGTAGAAATGGGGTTTCTCCACGTTGGTCAGGCTGGTCTCGAACTCCCGAACTCAGGTCTGCCTGCCTCGGCCTCCCAAAGTGCTGGAATTACAGGCATGAGCCACCTCGCCTAGCCAGAATTCCATTCTTTTTTGTGGCTGAATAGTATCCCACGGTGTATATATACCACATTTTCTTTATCCATTCATCTGTTACTGTTTTAGGATCTGGATGATTTGGGGAGTGGGTAGGTCTGGAGAAGCAGTGCAGGGTTGGTAGCTGCAGACCTCTCTAATTTCTTTTTTTTTTTGGAGACACAGCTTCGCTCTTGTTGCCCAGGCTGGAGTGCAATGGCACTATCTTGGCTCACTGTAACTTATACCTCCTGGGTCAAGCGATTCTATTGTCTCAGCCTTCCTAGTAGCTGGGATTGCAGGTGTGAACAACCACACCTGGCTAATTTTTATATTTTTAGTAGAGGTGGGGTTTCGCCATGTTGGCCAGGCTGGTCTTGAACTCTTGACCTCAGGTGATCCACCCACCTCAGCCTCCCAAAGCGCTGGGATTACAGGCGTGAGCCACTGCGCCCGGCCTCAGACCTCTAATTTCAGCACGTATCCAGCCCTCTTCCAGGGCCTTGCTAACTCATTTCTTATCTGCCCATGCATATGACACACACACACACACAAAGCATAAAATCATACTTCTCTCAAAGTTATTGATCGCATTCTAAAGTTCAGTAATTGAGCCAGGTGTGGTGGCTCATGCCTGCAATCCCAGCTACTCTTGAGGCTGAGGTGAGAGGATTGCTTGAGGCTAGGAGTTTGAGAGCAGCCTGGGCAGTAACATAGCGAGACTGACATCTCTACAAAAATAAATAAAGTTCAACAATTATTTTCTGACTTGTCGGTGCCTCATCAGATTCCACCAAAAAAAGGGGAGCATAATTTTTTTTCTTTTCTTTTTTTTTTTGACATGGAATCCGCTCTGTTGACAGGCTGGAGTGCAATGGCGCTATCCTGGCTCACTGCAACCTCCGCCTCCTTGGTGCAAGTGATTCTCCTGTCTCAGCCTCCCGAGTAGCTGGGACTACAGGCACATGCCACCATGCCCAGCTAATTTTTGTATTTTTAGTAGACATGGGGTTTCACCATGTTGGCTAGGATGGTCTCGATCTCTTGACCTTGTGATCTGCCCGCCTAGGCCTCCCAAAGTGCTGGGATTACGGGCGTTAGCCACCGTGCCCGGCTTGTTTTCTTTACGATCAACCTCTTTCTACAAGAGACTTGAAGTCATTTACAACCAAAACATGTGTATAAGAAAAGCAAAGGAGAGAAGCAGAACATAAATAATGAACCACATACGGGGCCTACAGTTGTCCAGTTGCGATTCCAGTGGAACTCTGAGCTCCAGGCAGCCAAGGAAGCCTCATACATGCAGTTCTTTGACTCTTCCATGCCTGCCTTCCTTGCTCTGTGAGAGTATGGGCTATGGCTAACTTGATGACAGTTAATTCCCAGAGCCTGGTCCATGGTGCGCAGCACCTTGGCTGCCTGAAGGTGGGAAAGCAGACCGGTTCCTGGGGAAAGTGACATTTCTTAGCACTAAGTTCTAAGGGAAATTTTTCACAGCCGGGTGCAGTGGCTGATGCCTGTCATCTGAACAATTTGGGAGGCTGAGGCAGGTGGATCACTTGAGATTAGGAGTTTGAGACCAGCCTGGCCAACATGGTTAAGCCCCGCTTCTATGAAAAATACAAAAATTAGCCAGGCAGAGTGGTGCATGCCTGTAATCCCAGCTACTGGAGAGGCTGAGGCACTAGAATCGCTTGAACCCAGGAGGCGGAAGTCGAAGTGAGCTGAGTCACACCACTGCACTCCAGCCTGGGTGACAGAGTGAGACTGTCTAAAAAAAAGAAAGAAAATTTTTACATGAAGCTATAAAATTGGGGTTTAGGGTGATAATAGCCCATTTCTCAATAACATATTTACAACAAATGCAATAACAGTGCTCATGACATGCTTTCTCTGGTGTTTCTTGATTAAAGTAAAAAATATAGCATGGTATTACTATGTACATAGACCCAAGACAAAAGAAAACAGGACCAGATGGTTGGACTGAACATGATCAGACTAGGTTGATTCAAACCTTATTTACAAGTTTACAAATAGATGGGAGGGGGGCAGTTACAGAACAAGCTAATAACTAAAGCAAAGTATTTGCATTTACCTCATACCTCATTTTCTTTCTTTTTTTAGACGGAGTCTCACTCTGTTGTACAGGCTAGAGTGCAGTGTCGCGATCTTGGCTCACTGCAAGCTCTGCCTCCTGGAGTAGCTGGGACTACAGGCGCCCACCACCACGCCCGCTAATTTTTTGTATTTTTAGTAGAGACGGGGTTTCACCGTGTTAGCCAGGATGGTCTCGATCTCCTGACCTCATGATCTGCCCACCCCAGCCTCCCAAAGTGCTAGGATTACAGGCGTGAGCCCTGCACCCGGCCGACCTCATTTTCAATATTACTGTATGTTATTATTTGTTAGAGATGGGGTCTCACTCTGTAACCCAGGCTGGAGTGCAGTGATGTGATCATAGCTCACTGTAGCCTCAGACTCCTGAGCCCAGGCGATCCTTCTGCTTCAGCCTCCTGAGTAGCTATAGGCGCTTGCCACCATGCCAAGTTGATTATTATTATTGTTTTATATAAATGGGCCCGCCAAAATGCCTAGCTAAGTTTTGTAGTTTAGTAGAGACGGGGTTTCACCGCGTTAGCCAGGATGGTCTCGATCTCCTGACCTCGTGATCCACCCGCTTTGGCCTCCCAAAGTGCTGGGATTACAGGCGTGAGCCACCGTGCCCGGCCCCAAAATTTTTAAAAAAGTAACTGGGCACAGTGGGCCTCACCTGTAGTCCCAGCGTCTTAGGAGGCCAAGGTGGGAGGATTGGCTGAGTACAGGAGTTTGAGGCTGCAATGAGCTATGATCATGCCACTGCACTCTTCCCTGGGTGACAGAACGAGACATCTAGTAATAATAATAACTTAAAAATCCTCAAAAGGAAGAGGTATAGTCTCTGAAGTATGAGGGATGGAGGGTAGATGTGAAGAAGGACTTCCTAGCAGAGAGGAAATGTTGAAAAGAAGTCTGTAGTGGGGAGAATTTTGAGCATGGAGAAAAGCAGCAGAAAAGAGCACAGGTTGGACTTCCAGCCAGTCTGTTGTAAGAGACCCAGGGATAAGGCAAATGAATAGAGCAGAAGGCTTTACTCCCTTGCTCTGACATGAGGACAGCAGGGATGTTGGGGTCCCACTGCTCCAAGCTGGCCAGCTCTGTGCAGGTGGCTCAGAGCTGGGAGCCCCTGATATGCCTGGGGAGTTTTATAGGCTCGGCTCAAGGCAGCCCTGGCTGGTGAGAGCCAGGGGCACTGGCAGAGTAGCTGACTGAATTATGGGCTACGGCTAGAGCAGCCCCCAAGTGCCCCACCTGTCCCTGTCCACTGCAGGCTTCCAGGATGTGCATGCCATGGTCTTCGTGGGCTTTGGCTTCCTCATGGTCTTCCTGCAGCGTTACGGCTTCAGCAGCGTGGGCTTCACCTTCCTCCTGGCCGCCTTTGCCCTGCAGTGGTCCACACTGGTCCAGGGTTTTCTCCACTCCTTCCACAGTGGACACATCCATGTTGGCGTGGAGAGGTGGGCAGCCACCGCCTACCCAGCTCCCCCAGGTTCACTCGGGGGGCCCCTGCCCATGGGCCCCAGATCTAGCCCTGCCCTTCCAGTCTGCTTCCTGACTCATGATTCTGGGTGTCACTTGGTTTCTCTAGGTGTCCTGCCTGTCCTTATTGCCTGATTTCCTCTCCCATCCTTGACCCTCACACTCAGCCTCACCTCCTCATTCTTTAGGGCCCTTGTTCCCCAAGAGCTGTGAGAAGGGTAGACAGCTCTGGTTCCTCCACCTAGTGTGGCTTTTGTCAGCCGAGTCACAGAACCTCCTTGAGACTCGATTTCCTCATCTACAAACAGGGCCAGGTGATCCCTTCCAACTCCAGGGAGGAGCCTGACCTCCTTGTCTTTTCTCCAGAACTCCATTCCCACCCCACCCACCAAGTCATGCTGCCCTGGCTTCATGCCAGGCGGGAGCCCAGAGGTCAGCCTCCCTCACCCCTCTTGTGCTCCCTCTTCTGCCCCATCCCCAGCATGATCAACGCTGACTTTTGTGCGGGGGCCGTGCTCATCTCCCTTGGTGCCGTCCTGGGCAAGACTGGGCCTGCACAGCTGCTGCTCATGGCCCTGCTGGAAGTGGTGCTGTTTGGCATCAATGAGTTTGTGCTCCTTCATCTCCTGGGGGTGAGAGTCGGGGGAGGGATGGAGTGGGGGGTGGGGGGTGGTCAAGGTCAGCCTCTGAGCCAGGAGCGTGGGGGCGGGGGCAGGGTGCCGCCTCTCCACCTCACCACACCTCCCCAGGTGAGAGATGCCGGAGGCTCCATGACTATCCACACCTTCGGTGCCTACTTTGGGCTGGTCCTTTCGCGGGTTCTGTACAGGCCCCAGCTGGAGAAGAGCAAGCACCGCCAGGGCTCCGTCTACCATTCAGACCTTTTCGCCATGATTGGTGAGGCCTGCGAGGTGCAGTAGCAGGGCAGGGGGCTGGTCTGGAGGCCTCTGATCCTGGCTAGAGGCGACTGTCTCTCGTGGTGCTGACTGCAGTCCTGGGGTTGTGCCTGGGCACTCACTTCCCATTTGGATTCTGCTGTGAGAGCTCTGGAATCTGCACTTATCATTCTCAACAGTTTTATGATAAGTTCTTAGAATTCAGCCCTGGGGAATGCATATGCCCTGGGTCCTTTCTAAATCCACCTCCATCCCTACTTAAAACCTTCCAGGGCTCCCACCAGCCACAGGTTAGAAAGTGGCCTCCTCAGCTGCCATGTCAGCCCCTCCTCCTCCCTCCTCACTGGCTCAGGCTCCAGCCAGACTCAGCTTTTGCCTGCCCTTGCCTCCAGGCCTTTGCGTGTCTGGTTCCCGACAAACAGGCAGTCTCTGCAGGCCCCTGGTGCTGCCTTACCCCTCCTGAGGATATTTCTTCCTGGGAGATTCCTGATGCCTGGAAGCCCCTGCACTCTCAGGCAGGGATAAGGAGAGGAAGGGTCTTGGGTCACCCCAGGGACCCATAGGAGCTAGGAGCCCTGTCACCACCACCTGCTTCTTCTTTTTTTATTTTATTTTATTTTTTGAGACGGAGTCTTGCTCTGTTGCCCAGGCTGGAGTGCAGTGGTGCAATCTCAGCTCACCGCAACTTCTGCCTACTGGGTTCAAGCAATTCTCCTGCCTCAGCCTCCTGAGTAGCTGGGATTACAGGCGTGTGTCACCACACCTGGCTAATTTTTTATATTTTTGGTAGAGACAGGGTTTCACCATGTTGGCCAGGCTGGTCTCGAACTCCTGACCTCAGGTGATCCACCCTCCTCGGCCTCCCAAAGGGCTGGGATTACAGGCGTGAGCCACCGCGCCCGGCCACCACCACCTGCTTCTAAGCATGCGCCTCCACCTTGGCTTCTGTTCCTCTATTTTCATAACTGCAGACAGAAGGCAAATCCGTATTTTTAATTTTTTTCATAGAAGGTATTGAATAGGGACTGAAGTGCCTATTCCTGTATGAAACAGAGAGGCTGGCTTAGGATTGCTCAGCACTGCTGGGTCAGAGTACAGAGAACCCCAGGGCAGCTGAGGCCTCCTTGCCCTTTGAGACCCAGATAAGTTTGCCTTGAATTCCAAAGGCTTCCCCAAGATTTCCAGGTGTTCCCAGGAGACTTGCATTCTCAGTTCTCTGCCTCCCAGTTCCTGGATTTTAGTGTCACCCAGACAGGAATGAGGCCCCTTCTTGGATTCTCCCACAAACGCTCCACCTACAGGATGCAAATATGAGCGTGGGAGATTTTACTCAAGATTGCGGGGCTGCTGGGAGAAGCCACACCCAGCAGACTACTCAGGACTGAGGGGCGGTCCCTAAGCCTCCCACCTCGCTGGCTTACACCACAGGATCCCCAGCCTTCTCCCTCACCTTGTCCTTTGGGTCCTTCTATCTCTCCCTCCAGGACGGGCCTGGGAACCTCATGCAGGAAGGCAGGGTAAATGGGCTCCCAGTTCTTTCCCAAAATGCACAGGCCCAGCCCATTCAGTACTCAGAAAACAGAGGCCTCTCCCAAACACTGAAGGGTCCACCCTCTCTAGGAGAGGTTGAGGTTATCATTGTTTTCCTGATATGTGTATCAAGCACCCAGCATAGTCCCCAACATGCAATGGCCTTTGCCTTTTTTCCTTTCCTTTCTTTTTTTTGTTTTTGTTTTTTTTTGAGATGGAGTCTTGCTCTGTCTCCCAGGCTGGAGTGCAGTGCGTCATCTCGGCTCACTGCAACCTCTGCCTCCCAGGTTCAAGCAATTCTTTTGCCTCAGCCTCCTGAGTAGCTGGGATGACAGGCATGTGCCACCACACCCGGCTAATTTTTGTATTTTTAGTAGAGACGGGGTTTCACCATGTTGGTCAGGCTGGTCTTGAACCCCTGACCTTGTGATTCACCCGCCTCGAGCCTCCTAAAGTGCTGGGATTATAGGAGTGAGCCACCGTGCTCGGCCTTCTTTTCCTTTTTTGATACTTAAAAAATGCCAATGTTCCAGCCAGATGCAGTACTCTGGACACTATACTCCAGCTTAGGCTGGAGTATAGTGGCACGATCTCAGCTCACTGCAACCTCTGCCTCCCAGGCTCAAGCGAGCCTCCTGCCTCAGCCCCCCAAGTAGCTGGAACTACAGGCATGTGCTACCATGCCCGGCTAATTCTTTTGTATTTTTGGTAGAGATGGGGTTTCACTATGTTGTCCAGGCTGGTCTCAAACTCCTGAGCTCAAGTGATCTGCCCGCCTCGGCCTCCCAAAGTGCTGGGACTACAGGCTTGAGCCACTGTGCCCAGCCCAAGGTGGTATTATTATCAATCCCACTGAACAGATGAGGAAACTGAGGCTGCTGAGGGTAGGTGACTTGCCTGCAGTTATACAACTTGTACCTTGCGTGGGAGCCACTTCCTTCTTCTCACTGCCTGTCCACCATCTAGGGACCATCTTCCTGTGGATCTTCTGGCCTAGCTTCAACTCTGCACTCACAGCGCTGGGGGCTGGGCAGCATCGGACGGCCCTCAACACATACTACTCCCTGGCTGCCAGCACCCTCGGCACCTTTGCCTTGTCAGCCCTTGTGGGGGAAGACGGGAGGCTTGACATGGTATGGGGAAGAGGACTTCAGAGAGGCAGAGGGGGTGGCCTGGGTAGGGGAGGAGAGGTCTGAGACCCTCAGGAAAGATTCCCCCGGGGAATAGATAAGGGCACAGGCATAGGGGCTCCATCTGTGCTGGTGGCTGTGGGGTCAGAATGGGAGGAGATATGATAGCAGGAGAGTGAGAGGCTAGATGGCAGAGGGACTTTCAGAAGCAGTAGGTGTCACTGTGGTGGGAAGGGTTGGGTTGCTGTGGGTGTGGTGATCTGAAAGGGCCTCCGACACCTTGCCCTTCCCTTAGGTTCACATCCAAAATGCAGCGCTGGCCGGAGGGGTTGTGGTGGGGACCTCGAGTGAGATGATGCTGACACCCTTTGGGGCTCTGGCAGCTGGCTTCTTGGCTGGGACTGTCTCCACGCTGGGGTACAAGTTCTTTACGGTACAGATGCCTCTTGGGGCCTGGGCAGAACATGGAGTCTTTGGTGCCTTTCCTCCCGCCTCTCCAACAGGATGAGGTGGTGGGGAGTGGGCACAGGAGACTCATGATCTGTCCTGCCCTCCAGCCCATCCTTGAATCAAAATTCAAAGTCCAAGACACATGTGGAGTCCACAACCTCCATGGGATGCCGGGGGTCCTGGGGGCCCTCCTGGGGGTCCTTGTGGCTGGGCTTGCTACCCATGAAGCTTATGGAGATGGGTGAGTTTCCTCCCAGCCCGCACTGCAGTCACCATCCCTCTGGAACGACGTCTGCCATTCTCTTTCTTTGTGTGTGACCAAGAAAAAAGAATTCATTCATTCATTCCTCCATATTCTGGGAGCAAAGGAAATTAGAGTTAACAAAACCAATCTAGAAACTGCCCTCCTGGTCCTCAATCAAGTGCAGCAGAAGGTCATGGACAAATGACTTCAAGAGTGTTACTTGTTACTGAAGGGTCAATAAGAGTTAATAACCCTTAGGATCTATTTTTGCACATCAAGGGTGGGCAAGAGCAATCCACAAATGGAGTCTTGAAAGGTGCCTAGGTGTCTGCTGGCCTACGAGGGTGGGAAAGTGTTCCAGGCTGTGGGCCTGGCTTAATCAGTGGCCTGGAGGTGAGACTCAGCCTGGCATGCACCCTTGAGACCCTCTTGGCCACTTCGCATCCTCCAGTGCGAGTTTCAGTGCCATGGGTAGCCCTGGCTCCGTGCTGCATCCCTCTCTCCCCCTACCACTGCCTTTCCACCGTCTGGTCTCCCTGCAGCCTGGAGAGTGTGTTTCCACTCATAGCTGAGGGCCAGCGCAGTGCCACGTCACAGGCCATGCTCCAGCTCTTCGGGCTGTTTGTCACACTGATGTTTGCCTCTGTGGGTGGGGGCCTCGGAGGTGAGTAACCTTGGATTTTCCAGAGGAAGGGGTGTGGGATCCTATACCCCTGACATGAATTCATTCAATCATAGATATTTATGGAGCATCTACTTTGTGCCATGAAGTAGGGATTGGGTTGTGGGTTAAGGGGTCACCAACGTCCTGCAGGCACAGAGGTGCATGCAGTTGCTTGCTCCTTTCTGGTGCCAAGGGCGGCTGGGGAGTCGGCGAGGGGTGAGCGAGGCCCTCTGGTAATTACGGGTCTGTGCTTGCCTGTGCTGCTCCCTCTGCCCACTAGAGGGAAGCCCAACCTCAGGCTGAAGCCTAGGAGAGGCTGGCTGTGCCATGTGGGGCAGGGACAGGGACAGGGAGGGGAGGAGACGGCCTGCCACCTCCAAATCCCAGTGCAAAAACCTTTCACAGAGGCACACTGCCCATGGCCCTGGGTCAGGCAGTCCCTCTTCATGTTTGGCCTTAGTCTTTTTGGCCTTCAAAAATAAAACCTGATTCAGCATCCCCTGCCTTCTGCTCTTACCTGGAAATTTGCTTCCTTCCCTCCCTCCCTCCTTCCCTCCTTTCCTCCCTCCCTTCCTTCCTTCCTTTTTCTTCTTTCCTTTCTTTTTCTTTTTTTTGATGGAACCTTGCTCTGT